GGAGGACTTTTTCAGTATTAGAACTATTTTCGTCGAAGATATAAATATAACTGGATATATTGGACGTTGAACTATACGATAAAATTGCATTATTAACGAGTATTCTCTTATTTACACGTTAAAAGAGAGAAAGAAAAAGGGATTTATAGATTAATAACACGCGATAGCGCGCGTTCGTATAGTGTCTAGTGACTCACAAGAGCACGCGATGCGTGACCCAATGAACCGTGCCGTTTGGAAATTCTACGAAGGATGATGAGTTTATAAATTTGACGAGATCTCTCTGGAAATTAAGCCGTTAAATCTCACTGGCGATTCGATACACGCCTCACTTTTCTCTCTCTCTCTCTCTCTCTCTCTCTCTCTCTCTCTCTCTCTCTCTCTCTCTTTCCCTTTCTCTCTCTCGTCTTTTCTATCGATCCATTCACACGGTCGTTTCCTCCCACGCCATGATCGTATCCGAAGAATTAACGATACACTGGCTTGTTGCTAGCCTAATCAATCTCACGTCAAGCTTCGTTCGACTCGCGGCTCGATGAATGAATCCTGGAATCGCGAGATCCACGCCGGCTCCCGGAATCCATCCGTCGAGCACGGCTTTATTTATCCGATCGATGCCCTTCGGCCTCGATCGGACCCACAGGGCAGAAATCGTCGGGACCGAAAGACAGAAAGATAAGGAGAGAGAGAGAGAGAGAGGGGGGGAGAGGAGAGGAGGGGGTGCGATCAGCACTGCAGGCTATATATGTATACACATCGTCTCGCGGACTAGGCGTCGCGCCGACCATGTAATTTCGATTCGTTGTTCCGCGAAGCTCGCCGGTAATTGGCCAAATTGGCAATCCTGCCAATCAATCGTTAAATATCAAGGATAGCGCGCGGTCGCTCTCGCGTGTGTCCGGCGTTCACCCACGACATACTCGCGCGTGAGTTCGCATTAAGGACGGCGCGATACGCACGCCGCCGCCGCTCATTCCTGTCATCCTTTTGCCCAACAGGCTCCACGTATAAATCCCGTCGAGAGATTTCCGGGAAATAAAAAGGAGGCAGCAACGGCGGCGGCCGCCGCGTCTTACGCAACGCGATTTGTCCTGATATTCGAAGCTCGCCTTGGCTCTCGCCGTGGCGCCTTTGTTTCTCGTCCGCGACGAGAGCGAGCCGGTCAATCTGCCAGCTATTTCGCAAAATTGGATATGTGTCGGTAAATGCACAGGGTCCCCAGGCACGCCCTTCAAGCACGGCCCGCGCGCCAAAATACGGGATGCCGGGGCGCCGCGCCGCGGGGGGGGGGGGAGGGGGAGAAGTTGCGTAATGCGGGCGTGCGGTGCTTACGAAGTTTTGCGGCGGAGCGGAAAGAAGAACAGAGATCGATAAATAACTCTGTGCTCTCGAATGTTCGCGGTTTCTTCAAGTTCGCTCCTCGACTTTTCGCTCTTCATCTTCGTTAAGCTGACAGCCGATCATAATCTTCAGATCGGTCGCTGCGGCAAATTGTAAAAGACGGAGGACATTTCTTTTCCTATCCAGTATGGTTCTCGCGGCGCGGCGCGGCGGCGCGCGGCTGTCGTGAAGCAACTTCCGTTGGATTAAAGGGACTGTCACGGGGAGACGCGACACCGCGTCCTACCCGACTGGATTTTCGAAATATCGAGAGGAGCTTGGCGGCTCGGATAGAAATTGAAATGAGTTTGTAGGTTTCTCGGTGTACCGGTAGTCTCGTCGTCTCTTTCTTTCTCTATTTCTCTTGGTCTCTCGGTAGATCCGCCGAGAAATCGATCGGCTCGACTCCGCCGGTCGCTCGTTGTGCCGACGCGGTTTCGTCGATTTTTAATTTATTTCGGTCCACACCCATGCGACCTCCGCCTCCGCCGCTGCCGTCTCTCGGCTCCGACGAGTTTGCGGATCCCGGCAAGAAGAAAACACGCCTGGGAACCGTGTCGCAGCTCGCCCGAGCCTCGAAATTGGAGGAATAATGGAATCTGGAGTCGCGCGCTCAAAGACGTCGCAGAGGAGAGGAGAGGAGATCTTTACGTGGATGGCTCGCGGGTTAATTGCGATCTCTTCTCTCCGCTGCGACGAGAGGAACGCGCGCGCGCGATCGGCTATATCCATGTCTCCATGAGTGGAGAGAGACGAATGGCAGAGAACGAGAGAGAGAGAGAGAGAGAGAGAGAGAGAGAACGAGTATCGAAACCCATTTCAAAAATACATAAGCACGTCGCTGCGCGGGCAGATAAGAGGATTATGATTTTTCGCTTTGGCGAGCGCGGAGATCGCGCATTATAACTTCCTCAATGTCACGTCTTGTTTGCGGATATTATAACGGTCAGTCTCGGAGCTCGCATATTTCTTGATTTAACGGAACACCAGCTCTCTGAATAAACATATCGCCGGCAAAAAAATAATAGCTTCTCCCCCGCCTACCCCAGCCCCGCGGGGACGGGATACACCAGTTTTTATCATTCGATCGTTATCGAGCGGCCGCGGAGTCTAATTTCGAGTGTTTTTCTTCTCTTCTTTTTGTTTTTCTTTTTTCTTTGTTATCCATCGGTGGTCGATCGGCATCGCTGACAATGTAGAAATCATTAATAACACCCGAACAGTAGACGTTTGACGTTCCTCTCCGCGCGGTGGCGACGTGTAAAAAAGAGCCGCGAGAAATCGAGTCAATCAATGTTGCAGACAAAGTTGCGCAGATCGATGACTTGCAGAGTTGCAGATAAAGTCATAACGCAACAGCCCCGAGCTAGTCCGTCCGTCGTTCCTCAAATAGCTGCACCCACGACCGCGATAACAGATGATTCGGCGGGATTCTCGCGCGGGCGAGATGATCTTGAGGTGCGACTGTGTGAGACTCGCTTTCGAGAGTCTTCGAGTCTCCTGACATGAAAAAAATTGACGTCGACTGCCGCGTCGATTTTCGTCGATCGTAAAAAAAAAAAAAAAAAAAAAAAAGCGTACCTCATGATTAATTGTCAATTTATGATTAATTATTGAAAGAGACGACGAAATGTAACTCCTCGTCGGGATACACGCGTCTCCTTCCATGACATATCCGTTGCTTGCACGACCAATTCTTCCGTGTGCAATTTATTACGTATCATATATGACACTCAGTAATATCATGATCACCGATCACCGCGGCGGCCACCGCGGCGTCACCGTTCGACTTGTTAAATCACTCTCAATCTCATGCGTATCATCATGCGTATATGCCATAACCGTCGAGAATCGCCTTTGAAGCCCGACAACTTGTCGAGCGAACGCGCAGGGAGGGTCGCGCTACACGCCGATCTCGTCCATTTGTCTCCTTCTTTAATTACTGGCGGAAGACACCTTTCGAACTAGTCAGACGCGCGCTTTTATTAACTTCCATCGTTTCTCGTCAACGCCGACAGTTGATCGACATATCGGGAGATTCCAACGAGAGCGACATCGGCGCGATAGGTTTACGTACCTCGTCTCACCGCACCGCACCGCACCGCACCGCACCGCACCGCACCGCACCGCACCGCACCGCACCGCACCGCCAACAAACCAGTCAATATCGGGACGCAGACGAGGAGAAAGGGAGAACGGATGCACGGAGCCCGAGTCAAAAAATGGGGGTTGCGTCGCGAGTCACGTCTGAGCACGGACTGGCGTGCTCGGCCCTCGGCGTGCGGCCACCCTCGCCCGAGCTCTCGTATTATCGAATGTTCTGTGTGTGCACACCTGCCGGCATTTCGATATACCTATGTATCCGCCGGCACACCCGCTGCACAGAGCGCGGTGTTCGCGACCACGACTGTGCACGAACTCGCGGCATTGACGGCGGGGGGAGGGCGCTTGCAGATTTCGCGGGCCGACGAGAGTTGGTCTCGTCGCGAGTTCTCAGGCCAAAAAAAGCCGGATCCAAATCGCACGTCACAGACGTCGCGTCTCCCGTAAGCCGATCCGCATCACGTCACACGAAATCGAGCTCTGGAGGATTAAATCGTTAATTAAAATTAAAAATATTGGGTCAAATATTATGTGAGATTCTCATATGAAGAATAAAGTTTGGGTAAAATCGTAATAGAGCCTATAATTGTGTTTAACGCAACTATAATATTTGGGGAAAATACACATACACACGTAACATAGGCACTTTTGATCTTCTGAATGGGTAGTCCGCGAGGTTAGATCCGGTTGAAAGTTCTGGTCGCCAAAGTTCGGTCCGCACTTTCAATTGAGAAATAGTCGCACCACGTCGAAGTCTTCGAGTTCGCCGGCGATCCGTTCCGTGTCGTCGCCGCCATAAAACATAGCCGCGGCGTCACGAAAGCCGGGCGCCGACTTTCCCGCGCTCCCCTCGTCCTCCCGGCGGCAGAATAATAATTAGCGCAATTAGGGGTGCGGGGGTGATAGGTCGCTCGCGCGCGTGCGCACGCACGCGGACGGGCCTTGCAGCGGACGCTGTAAACTTTCAGCAATAATTTACGGAGCTTTTAGCGACTCGGCAGGAAGCGGACCGTTGCCACGAGACTTACGGAGCCAGGCTTTTCCCAAATTGCACGAGAGTCGTCGCATGATAGCCCTTTAGAATCCCAGAATTAACTTTGCATTATTCATGCCACCGTGATCGTCGTTCGCCAACGATCTCTGACGTCCGAGATATTTTTCTACGCGGCGTCGCAGAATGATCGAATGCCACGATGCGAAACGACGATGCGAAGCGACGAAATTGTCGGTTCGATCGAAAATTCGATCTTCGTCGAATCTCGGTCAGTTCAGGCTCAATTTTTGTGCCGATCCTGTTTTTGTTGCATTCGATGGAGGCTGATTATGTTATTCGTCAATCAAATGAAAGTGAAGGTGTCAGATTTACTTACAACGATACATGATGTATAGCTATTATTTGCATTATTGCTTGTATGACATATATATATATATATATATATACATCACAAGAGAAGATTAAATATTATAAGATCATTTATTTTAAGATCGCTGATCAGGAATTCTCCTTTTTGTTTCAGATCTGACTGAGCCACGCTCAGTGTGCGGTGGGTGCGGTGGACGCGGAGAGATGCGGTTTTGGTGGATGCGGATGCTCCGGTACCGGAGGATCCGGTTCGGGCCGAGCAGGGTCGGCTCGAAGGTAAGTTTAGAAACTTTCCGTATTCTTGACGGCATTGAACCGTTCGCGATCGACAAAGTCCTCGAAATAAAAGTCGCCGAATTGCAGCGACCGCGAAAAGTTTGAAACTCGATCGTGTATATTTCTCGTTTTATTCTCGAGCTATTAGTCCCTCGTCTATAAGCAGCGATGTCACTTCTTTGCTTCAGATTTGTGGCAGAACGTGGCCCCGGTCCAGGAGTTCCTGTCATTTCGGTGAGTGAGAGACAAAAATTTAAGGTGGCGGATTTATTACCGATTGACACTTGTGAAAAATCGATGCGATTTACGTAGTTTGTAGTCCTTTGCATGTACACTGAGAGAAAGACGTGGTTATCTCGCTGCAAATATTGCAATATAATACTCATTTTCAAAGTTAGTCATATTTCTTCGTTATCTTAACAAAAAGAAATAACAATAACGACACACACACACGCTTGTTATGAAAATGTTATAGTATTTATTACACTAGAAAAGAATTATTTCACTGTGATACAAAACCCATTTCTCTCAGTGTAGAGTTCTACAATTATATATTATTGCCGTCCACTGCAATTTATTTCAAGCAATGTAAATAAAATTGCGCCAACGCACGCGGAATTTGCGATCACTTGTATCGTTTTCGTGATGCGCGATCGTCAATTTTCTGAATTTTTATATGTTATACGGGTTATATACGGCGGGGGGGGGGGGGAAGGGGAACGAGTGTCCCGTTTTGTACGAAATTAATTCGGTTCAGATACTTATCGTTTTTCTCGTGAAGATTAAATTCGGATTTTCATAAACGAGAACTTTATTTTTTAACGAAATATAAGCGTCCGTGAAACGCGTCTATGTTTTAATATTTTCTCTCGATTCTCAGTCAAAAGCGCTGCAATGTTCGATTCGCAATTCGCGAGTAAATTTCCGAAGCATTGAACCGCGTACTTTTCGTTGAATCGTCAAGTGTCATTAAAATGCCGCGATACCGCAATTCGTCGCCTTGCCTTACACGTGAGATTCACGACTTACTACGACTGCAAACACTAGACTCGCGTACATTTCGCTAAATCGTCAAGTACCGTTGAAGTGGTATCGCGATCGCGCAGTATGAACTGCGATATCGACGTGAAACGACTGAAGGCCTCCACTGGCTGAACCCTCGAGGATGCTGGACAGTTAGACATCGTTGGACATCAACACGCAATTGTGAGCGTACAAACCAAACGCTCACGGAGCGTCACATTATACGTAGTGCATGCAATGTTCAGATGTAAATCGCATCGATCGCCGATGACAACGGTCATCGTGCAAAGATTCTATATTGTTACTGACTGGAGGGTCAGATTGCTGAAAGATCGTGCTTATTTTTGATAATATTTTGTGTAAAAGAAGTGAATAAATGTGCAAGAATGAAAATTTTAGGTATATTTATACAACATATGAAGAGTAGACAAATTTTGTTTATTAACAAATATTCGTATGATATATGTGATATATACATCTGAAATATACTCTCCTTTTTTTTCTTCAAGTTATCGTTTTTGCAGTAATATCTCGGCTTTCGGTGGTCCGATCAGAGCTAGAAATCTTGAGGAGGCTTATCATTATTCGGTGAACCACTAGAAAAGAATCGAACAAAATTAACAAAATGGCAGCTATTATTAGGAAGAAATTCAAATTTTTCACTTCTTTTACAATAAAAAAATTAATATCTCGAAACGAAATAAATATTTTGACGGAGTCGTCCATGGTTCACCTGAGAGCCACATGAACAAATATTATTGCTTTAAAATTTCACATCGATACGAAGCTCAGTTTCGGAGAAATCACACTGCAGAAAATTGAACGATAAAATTCCGAGAAAAACGCGTTTAAAATTTAAGTGAACGTATATTTGTACGAGTATTTGTTAAAAACAAAATTTTTCTACTCTTCATATGTTACATAAATATATGTGAAATTTTCATTCTTGCACATTTATTCAGTTCGTCACAAAATCATTATCAGAAACAAGCACGATTTTTCATCTGCGATCTGACCCTTCGAGTCCCCTTAACCAAGACTCCAGCGACCTTGAGAATAAGACTTAAAGAATAAGACTTAGAGAATAAGACTTGAGAATAAATACGATAAGCGGTATCTAGTTGAATTAAAAGGCAAGGGAAGCGTTGAAAAGCACAAAGAAGAAGAGAAGAAAAATACTCGCATCGTGTAGCGCTGAATTTGATCGTTGGTTTCCGCACGTGCACTCACAATGAGCGCGTACACACGCACTCACGCGAGCAGTCTCGTGTTCGCGAAGCGAAGGTCCCTGTACCGCTGTCTGCCGGCGCATTATATATGTACGTATACACGATATTATGATACCCCGGGCTCCCGGTAGACGTCGTTATGCCGAGAGAGACTGTGGGGGTAACTACCGTAGCCTCGTGTTCCGCGCGTTTTTAGGACGCGAGAGAGAGAGAGAGAGAGAGAGAGATTCCACCGAGCACGCTGAAACACGAGTCGCGTGAGAGACGCCCCGCGCCTTTCCCTTTTTCAATTCGATCGGTTAATTACAATCGCGCGAGAGGCGAGGCGATGCCGCTACCCTCGGAATGTCCGAGAGAGAGAGAGAGAGAGAGAGAGAGAGGAGGGAATGTGGGGGAGGGAAAGGAGGAGCGATTACGGCGGGCGATGGCATAATTGCGAAAATGAAGGAAATTAACATCGACATCGCCGTGCGCGTTTCACCGTGTCGGAAAAACCGAGAGACTTCTATCCGCCTTACTTAGTAAGGCGCGCGGTTCTCTCGTCTAGTGTCGGCGAGTTTACGTGTGCTAACGTAACGACCGCTGGCTGGAAGATGCGTGATATCGGCTACGCCGCTCGGTAATTTGCAAAGTCTTCTTCGCGAGTTCGCAGCGATTTCATTCCCATTTAATTGACACTTGAGCACGTAACCTGCCTGAATATAAAGACTCTAGATCTCCCTCTTCGCGTTTACGACGCGACGAAGAGAGGGGGGAGATGATCCGCGAGAGAAATGAAGTTGCGAAGTTCGATGAGCAAAGCCGAGAGTATATCGAGAGAATTGAATTCTCTGTATCGAAAAATACACGACGGGCATTATTCGGCGGGCCCGAGAGAATTAAGGTACACGACGGAGAGATTACCGCGAGAATGAACATACAATATGTATATAATGCCGTGAGGAAATGTAGGTGTACATAGTGCGAGGCAGGAGTGTCGGTTAGCGGCTCTTATCATCGATCGCGCCGCAAAGTTGAACCGCGAAATGAACCAAACGTGATCGATATAGCTAACGCCAGGCAATCTACGCCAAGCCGCCAAGTGGCGCGATTCGCGCGATAATTGCTTGCGAACTGGCGAACCTCCCGCGCTTATCCACCACCACCTGCCCACGTAGCCACCAGCAACCAGCGCGCGCACCAACACACACCCTCTTTAGCTGCTCATTCGGAGCAGCTTTTCGCTCAGCCATCACTCACCCGCTCGTTCGCGACTGCTCGTTCTACTGACAATTCGAGCCCTCGAGAACCCGGGAGCCTGGCACGAACAGCACCATAACCCAAATCGCCTTCTTACGAAAGCATAGTTCGCCTCTAACGCGTCCACGTGGACCCCGCCTGTCTGGCTTGTCAAAGCTCTTCCAAGCTAGTTTTTTCGCTCCCCCTCCGCCGATGACAGTCGGTAATTCGACCGAGGGGTCGAAGGCGATATAAATTTTATTCGCCTGTTTAAGGCTTGAGCATTGAGATTTCTCGCGGTATATGAACATTTTCTACCAACGCGTGATCTCGCAATTTTGCAGGAATCCAGTCTCGGGGTGTATTCGAACTCGGGCGTGTATTTCTCAGTCGTAATTCGCGTATTGCGCGTGCAATTTATAAACACGGAGATTAGTTGGATCGAAAATTTCATCTTGATTTCTGATTCTTTTTTTCTTCTCTTCTGTCTCCTGAGCTGAGAAGATTTCTCAGAATTTCTCAGAAGTCTTTCCGGGTAATCTCTTTTGGCACGAGATTTTCGAGTGTGTGTATAACGTCTGGTGTAATATCGTTATACAGGCCATATTAAACGGCCATAATCGATGAAACGCCCTTGCTATCTCGTCGTAAATCACGGAAACGACATCGGATAACCGGCCGGCTGTCATTTCCGACGAGCTCGCGATGCTCGCGCGGTTCGAGGCGAGTCGCGTGCTTGCCGCTCGTAAGGACGAGCGAAACGTTGTGCAGTGACGCGAAGTTATGACCTGGCACACGCGAGGAAACTTCAGCGCGGCGACTTTCTTTTGTCACCCGTTATTACTCCGTGTCGTGCCGTCGTTAAAAGTGACGTGAGTGTCGGCCGTTGGATGCCTCTTTTCGCGTTTCTTCCGCTTCTCTTCGTTTCTGCTAACTCACCGGACAATTTAATGAAATCGATAGCGAGAGAGAGAGAGAGAGAGAGAGAGAGAGAGAGAGAGAGAGAGAAAGAGAAAAGTACGGTATAATAATAGGGATAAAAGAGAAAGAAGAAACTTTTTAGCAGCAACACGTCGGAAATGCAAGACGAAACTTGGCGAAATTGAAGTACTCGCCAGATTCTGTCGCGAGCACGGACTTGGTTCCCGTCCGTGCCTCGTCCTCGTCTCAGTTTTGCAAGAGTAACAGTTGACATTGCTGCGAAGTATAAAGTGAACGACACGTATCACACTGCGTGAACTGCGTGTAAAAATTTCGGAAAAATTCTCCAGTCATTATCGAGACACTTTTATCCTTGCCGTCTTCCGCGATCTTTCGGAATCGCCTTCTGTTCGGCTAATACCTTTTTTTTTTCGTAACCTCTATATAAATAAGTATTTCTGTCCGTCACAAGGACGGAGGTTCGATTTACATTTTCACTAAACGCGGCATCAATTTTAATTACTCCCGACTTCGTCGGGCCAAGTTGACGGGCTAAAGCCGAGGATATTCCTCTTTTGTATCGGTACCGAAACGAAGGCTGAAAACGAGGAGAGTCGTAAAGTCGTCTACGCCGACTCGAGACGTTTCACGTGAAACTACGCTGCCCATTAAAAAGCCCGATTCCCAGAACGCGTTTTACTAACGAACGTCGGACTGATCTCCCTGACATAAACTATTTTTTAATAACGGAGCGGTGATAATTGCATACTGAGAGAGAGAGAGAGAGAGAGAGAGAGTGGCCGTCTGGCGCGAATAAAAAAGTGCCATTTTTAGTTCAGATCT